GCCCTTCACATGACGAACTGAGTCACTCAGTGATGACAGCTTACCACTAGCCCGGCGAATAAGTTGGTAGAGTTTTCGAGTATTACCAACATTCGAGGCCTGCTCCATAGACCTTCAGAAGATTCGATATCTGGAGATTAAGCACCTTGGTTTTTACCTTATACTCTAGACCTGACAAATAAAAGTGGGTCTAATCACCAACATCCCTGAGGATGGTTACTGGACATGTCTATCGCAGCCATAAGAGGTCGGACCCCTAGGTTGTAATCCTTGTTCAAGGGTATCGCCGTCACTCTTAGATATTTTAGCTGTTATGGGGGCCTAGTTTAATTCAGGTTACTAACGGCTGCTCTTATTTTTAGTATGGACCACGCAATAAGTAGTACGAGACAGAACAGCCATAACCAAACGGGCGAACAGAAGAGAAGGCGGCGTTGACGTCGAAGAGTGCGGTGGAGTTGCAAAATATTAGGGTATGCGTCAAGCTGGACGGCAAGCTGGACGATTTTCTGCCTTCGAGTTGGAAAAAACGCCAACTCTTGTCCTCCGGAGCGGATTTAGCCACTTATTGTAAAGTGAGCGGAAGATCTGATCTGGACGTCATAACCAGCCTATTTTGCAGTGGCCGATTTCTTAATGGTGACCTTTCCTGAGCTTCCATATACGGGCGAAAACTATTGAAACATAAGAATGAAGGAAGAACCTAGATTCCTTAGAGAATCGTGCCCGTCGATAACTCTGATGCTCATCTGACCGCTTAATTTAATTGTCAAAACCTTTCAACTAGTCAGCAGGTGTGGTTTCTGATTGCGGCTATCGGTACCCCTTAAGGTAACAGTCTAAGACTAGGGGCTGGCTCAGGAACCAGAAAACAGAAGAAACTAAGTCCATAATGCGTAGCTACGTCTATATATTTACGACTTGCAATTATACCCATTTTGCCGTCCGTTTAGTATTGGAACATATGCCTAAGTGAGAGGCGTAAGCTTGTTACGTCTCCTTTCTCTTTGGCATATCATTTGTGAATTATGTTTCCAGTATTATTCACTTTCCGTTCAGATCCTCTCGCCGCAGGGAACCCTGTTGCACAAAACCAAGCTGCTGTGGTGGCCGCAGCGGCTGCCGCGGTTGCTGCAGCTTCACAGTGGCCAAAC